GGGACCTAGGAGGCTCGAGGTTCTTATTGCTCCTTTTGTAACCCTGAAAACATGTGAATATCATTATCTTACATGTCTGTAACTGAGCTTTAACACAATGTATTCTGCACCATATCGATCAGTGAAATCATGAACACAATGTTTCTGTGACTGCAAAACTGCCATTCATGACACCAGATACCAACACATTTCAACATGTAATAAAGTGAAGTGATTCAGGTTAGCCTGAATGCATCCTTCTGTAGTGTATTGACACAGTGTTTTCTCAAAGGAAAAAGATATAAATCACACTGAGAGAAGCTAAATGTGAGCTACACTGACCCCCTCAGGCTGTAAAGTGCATCACAGGGGGAGCCGGGCGGCCTGTCTCTGAACCCTGAGAGTCGGAGGACCGAGGATCATATTCAAGAGAGGAGCATGTGACCCTACCTGACCTCGCTCTGATAATCTGATCCACAGCTGGTGGATCAGTTCAGAAACATAATGAAAAAATAATGTGCAGTAGATATAGAAAGTGGCAGTGAGAACTGAACTAAATCTCCAAGATGTTTTCTTCTACTCTGAATTTAAGGTTTTATCTGTGTGATGTGTAAAGCTACATGATTTGGTATTGTGGTACATGTTCAATATAACATTTCTGACAACTACTCTTATCTAGGTGTGTTTTTATCACATAATATATATAAAATTGTTTTATTAGAGCAGCATTAAGTATGAACTTATTTATACCAGAACATATTCTTGAGCGATTCCACCAGCTGTGAATAATTTCAATCTGAGCCAAGATATAATTAGCCGCAGTTTGTGCCTCACGAATTAACATTCGAGACGCGGAGTTAAACCTGGCCGTTCAACAACACTTGACACTGTTCTCAAGGTGTTTCCAGAGACCTCAAAGGCATCTGGATGAAAAAATATTCCATTTGTTGCATGATCAAAAAGATTTGTAACTCGTTTCTGAAGGTGTGTTGCTTTTAACTGATCCAAAAAAAGATGGTGCCTGGAAATTACTTATCTTCTTGCTCGATTTGTACAATATGAACCAAATCAGCAAAAAATAACTACGAGTTATGTTCGTGTATATTGATGTTATTTCATCTTTCTGTAAACAATAACATTAACATTTTACTTGTGTTTTACAAAAAGAGCAAGGAAGCCGTTAGGGTGTTTTGAAGATTAATGAATCATTAAAATAAAATGGGTTGCACCATATGAACTAGTTCTCATGTATTAGTTTCTACATGACTGGCAGGTGGAAACTGAAGCAAAGCCAACCGTACCAACTGACAAAACTAACGTTAGCTTGTTAACAGGAGCCGTTTAGATTTAGTAGGTTTTGGTCGACACTTCTGAATTCTGACCTGCTGTTTAATAATGATTTAAAATTACATTTCTTATAAATAACAGTATTCCGCTCATAATGTCAGTTGGGGGACTCCATGTTTACACAGTTGATTGGACATTTTTACATGTTTGCCAGCAGCCGACTCACACATTACAAGTTCAGTTTTGATGGTGCAACCCAATTTATTAAATGACTAATTTGAAACTTTCTCAGAGTTACTAAGTACAGGATTCACAAACAGCTGGTGCAATCCTGGATTAAACCGTGTAGTATATCTAACACTGTTATTGTATTATTGTAGCTCAAAGGTAATGGCACCGTTCACCTTCTGTATGAAAATTATGAACACTCAGTTGTAAATAGAGCAAAATATCCTTCTTTCACTCTGACATACAAGTTGACCGAGACTCACCTGTTGTATAAGAGTACAAAAGTTGAATTTAACAATTGTTTTTTTTTTTTTCTGGTTATATGTCTGAAGGAGAGGAAGCACGATAATGGGAGTTTTCAAGTAGTGTTTGTATTTCCTTTCACAGTGGCTCACAGATGTGTGTGTCAGTACGACGGCTGCTCCTGGTCCTCATCACTCCAGCTGTCGGACGTGTCTGTCCCAAAGTACCGGTCCCCAAAGTCCCCTGAAAACACAGCACAGTGGGCTCAGAGCTGCTGTTCATCAGCAGGTTAGAGGCTGAAGAAAATAATGAAAAAACAGCATGAAGACACAGTCAAACTAAACGGTTGGAGGATGTGGAAATAAAGAGCTCAGTGATGGTTTTCTAAAAGGATGAAATTGTGAGTGATTCAGTCACTTCAATCAATTGGTGTAACACAATACATTGAATGTTAATCTTACTGTTTGCCAGTAATGTTCAATTATGTAATTATGTGTAACTATTTATGTTTGCGAACACCAGACTGATCTATCTGATGTGCAGATTGTGCAGTTTAGTCACAGCGCTGATCAAGAGCAGTGCTCGCTTCAAATCTGAAGTGACAAGTATAAAATTAGAATCTGCTGGGACATGAAATGAAATCCGTCAACTTGAAACACAAACGTTTATTATCTTTTATCGGAAACAAAGACCGTGGACATTTTTAGATTCTGCATAAAACTAAAAACCGTGCACCCTCGAGACGGAGTTATGTGCTGACAACAAGAAGTTATAGTTTTTGCACGTCACCTGTAATTCAAGTTAAAGTTCTTCCGAGATTGAGAGACTCAAAATGTTCAAATAAATTACATTTTGGACAAAATGCTTGCCTTCTGATTTAACAGCACAGTGACAGAAAGAGTGAGAGCGTGCATGTGATGACTTACCGATACCAGGAATCACATGTAACAAATCGTCCAGACTCTTGTCCACAGCGGTAGTGATGATTTTGACCTTCGGGAAGGCGTAGGCCACAGAGTGCACCCCGAGCTCTGCCATCAACAGAGACACCAACGCGATCTTTTCCTCCTGCACCTCGTGATCCTGCTCAGCCACACACACACACACACATCAGTCAGTGCCTACCTGATCATCAGAGGAATAATTTGTAATTGGAAAGAGAAGACAATATCTGCAGAAATAATGCTAAGCTAATCCCACTGGGACAGAAATAAACTTCCAATCAATAACCCCACAGATGAGTAATAAAACATGCTGACTGATCAAGAGGAGACGGGTCCTCTTGTCGTCTTACTGAAGAATAATGATGTTAATATTCACCCACCAATAGGACTCGTACGGCCATCATGGCGGCAGCGCCGGTGGAGACGGTGCTGTCCATTAGGATGACATGATCCTCGCTGATGTCTTTGGGCAGACGCAGGTAATGCAGCTGGCGAGGCCAGAGAGGAGGAGACAGGTTACCATGGTTACAAAATCAGGAAGGGTAGTTACCACGGGGACACACATCATGTGGAAGAAGGAAAAAAAAACCAAAAAAAAACATTTTTATCTTTTGTTTAACGCGATTTTTGAGACACCATCATATCGTGTAAAGTCTTGATCTGAAGATGTGATGTGAAGGGGATTTGGCAGAAAATGGCAAATTTGTTCAACCTCTGGTTCGCCTGAGTCAAGGTTGGTCTGGATGAGGATCTTGCCGATGCGGACGTCCTTGCACACGGCCCTCAGGGCGGGCTCCATGGTCTCTCCCGCCCGCAGGACGGACACACCGGTGATCTGCGGAGACGAGGCAGTGGAGCAAGTGGGATGACAGAAACCCCCGCGGACACACTCGACTGGAAGTTAACAAGACCTTGTAAAACCAGGGCATCACTCACCCCTTTCCCCTTATAGCTGCGGCCTTCGTACTCATGGCCCTGTGGAGTCTGGACTACACACGACTGTTCGAAGACACAGAAGAAATAATCATCTTATTACACAAACACACGACTCCCATAGATGGAGATCTAAGAAAAGAATCTATGCATGTTTTTGTACGCATATAGAGTCTTTTATAGTTTGTAAACAATGAAGTACATACATGTGAGCATGCAGTTTGCCAACGGAAGAAGGGAAGTACAATATCTTATCAAGCCATGTGAGGGCAGTAACCCAGAAAGATGGCGAATGCAACCCAAACAAGTTGACTTTCCAGATCTGTGTGCTTTTATCGAGCAAGTGGCCTAATATTTAATGGTCAGATGTATAGATGAAATCTAGTGTAATGCTATGCCAGTGAGCATACAAGTCACGAGATGCTTGTACATCTCATGTGACATTATGTACATGACATGTAGACTCAGAGTTTAGTAGCTCACAGCCATAGACGCCACCGGTGTTTCTGTTTAACTAGTGACCGTGTTAACTGGTGACTCTTTGCCGCTCCTGCTGCCAACATGTGGCTGCATATGTTTGATGTTGTCTGCTGTAAAAGGGTTTATATGGAACTTTGTGCTGTGAATGTGTGAGACATTTCTGTAGTATATGTACTGTATCACTGCAGCAAACAAGGTTTGTTTGCTTTAGGACATTCACCACAAGTGGCCTACACTTAACTTTAATACCAACAATTTTCCAATTCCAATTTTTTTATATGATTGCTTGATCCAGTGGTTTTGGTTGATGTCAGAATGGTATTAAATTCAACTTGCAGAGACTTGAACTCTGCTTTAGACACGACATCACAGAGAGCGTTCAGTCACCTTTATTGTTTGTCTGGTACGTTGTTGGGAGCTAAAACTGTGTTGAAAACACTTTTTTGTTGGTGCATTCAAACTATGACAACTGATAGGTGAGAGTTGGCTGCTAAAGAGCTTTGTCTTTAGGATTAAGTTTGAACTTGAAGTTGACTCTTGAGGTGTTGATTAGGAGTTTTCAGAATAGCTATATTCAGCTTCATTACCATGCGACAAAACCTGTGACAAAACCCATAATTAAAATAACAGTCAGAGTGTGATTATTATAATTATCTCAAGCAAGCTTCATGTCCCTGCAAAACTATATTGGCAGCAACTAAAACTGATGGCTGCCTGGAAAGTAATAAGTTAAATGCCACCGATTTGAGCGGCGAGAGTGAACCGAGAGAGTAAAAGTACAGCGGGCTGTAAAACCCAAACAATGAGCTGAAAGACGCAAAGATGCACAGACCTGAGGGGAAGTGCAAGAGTCGGGTGATGATTCTCTGTGGATCCATCACTACGAGCAACCTCTTTCACATACAAGTAGTCATGCTTATCCATTGTTAATACAAAAATATTGATTCTAGCCACTTTAATATTTACAGTCCACCCACCTGAGACGGTAGAAACGTCAATGCATGTTCTATGAGAAGTCGCATTAATCTCTTTGAGTAGAAGATAAACTCATCTCGACTGGTTCCTTTATTCCTGCATTACAACAAAAAAAGAATAGGTATTAAAACTCATATTGTATGAGCTGTTACGAGGACTCAAAGGTGTATTTGCTGAGCACAGTTAGATACCTGATGATGGTGTGCAGGCCTTTGACCTGCGGCGTACTCTCCAACACGCTGAGCGTCTGGGGCAGCGGCTGAGTCTGCTGAGCGGAGGCCAGGAGCGCCCTGAGACCGAGGAAAGGTTGTTCAGATCAGAAGGTTTTACTGTGTTATTCTGCTGCACTCAAGACGACAGAGAGTAATTATTACGACCGAGCCACTAAAAGCAGACAGACGGAGAGGGAGTGTGAAGGTTCGGTCTGTACACGACAACGACTCAACATCTCCGATAACAAGAAGCCAGAAGACGAAAAAGTCAAGATATGTATGAGCATACCTGACACTGAGCTCACGCTGCATTAAGAGAGGGTAAGAGAAAGATGGGGTGAAAAAATAAAGATGGTGAGAAGACGTCCACAGCCCGTCAGACCCATTCATTTCTGCTGAAGAGGTCAATCTTTGTAACAAATGTGTAGTTTCATGTTTTAAAAAATGGTGGGAACTGTAGTTTTTCACAAACTTTTTTAAACAATAACTAAATAGTTAATTTGTCTGGGACTATTTTATATATTTTTTCATTAAAGATCTATGTCACAGAGAAATAAGTTTTGGTCTTTCCGTGAGAGTACAAAATAACAACAGGCTTTTCAGACTTGGTTTTCCAAAGTGAGAGGGATACAAGTTTGCAACTGAGAAGTTCTGACTTAATTTGAGCTTGAAGCATTTCACTGTACAAACAGTTATGAGTCTCTCTTTCTGTCTGTATGTTACAGCTTTCGGACACATGGTGGCGCCAGCCTCTCATGTACAATCAGTGCTTTAGACACTCACCTCCTCCAGCTGGCTGTGAACATGCTGGACTATCAGATCAATGGCCACCATGTTCCCACCACCTTAGAAGGAATGACAAGAAGATGTTGATCTGTTCTCTGCAGTCAACAATGTGTCAAATAGTTCTACTTCCAGTTATTTAAGGAAGTCTCACCTCTCGGCACGACAATATCAGCCAGCCTCATGGTCGGCTCAATGTACTGTTCAAAGGCCGGCTTCACAAACTTGTTGTATTGCTTGATGACGCCTTCAATGTCCCGCCCGCGCTCTGTGATGTCCCTGCGCAGCCGGCGGACCAGCCGAATGTCTGAATCAGTGTCCACGAAGATTTTCATATCCAGGAGCTGCAGGTGGGAAGAGCAAACCCCCCTCCCCGAAAGGTTCAACAGTATTCACTTGCTACGAAAGCAGCTGCTCAAACAACAGTACCCGGTGGTGATTGCTTTCAGAAAAAATATTGCCTCACCTGAAGAAGCTCTTTGTCCGCAAAAGACATAATTCCTTCAAATATTATTACACTGGCACCGTAGATATTTTTCTGCACAAAGCGGAGAGAAAACCAACAGTCTTCAAAGCTGCTTCATGTTCAGTCAGTTCAGCTTTTTTTAAGATTAAAGCTGCAGGATGTCACTGTAGGAAACACTTTTTTAAACAACAATATTTTATTTAAGTTAACAATATATTTTCAGCTTTGAAAAATCAATCCACAGAAAAGCAGCAGGCTTTAACATCGTCTTCTACTTTACTAAATTACGGGATACATGTTTAATCTTTCAACAGTTTGAGTCTTTGAGGAATGCACCATGTTGTGTGGAAACTCACCCAGTCTTTCTGTCTTCCGTGTGTGGTGAAATCATACACCGGGATCTTCACACTCTTGCCCAGCTTCAGCTTTCGCAGGGTGGCAACCAGCAGGTGAAAGTCGAATGCCCCCGGATGATCAAAGTTGTAATCGTTACTTGCTGCCAAAGTCTGCTCCTCCGAGGATAAAACCTGTAAAACAGAGCAGATGAAAGTTGGCAGGTTCACAGGATGGTTGCTGATATTGCACTTTAAAAGGAACAGCTCACCATGCTTATTCAATTTGTGGCAGAGTTAAATGAGAATAACGATACCTGGACTGGTATCGATCCTATTTAGCATTTAGTATTTCTCTTTGTAATATGTTTTAATGTGTTAGTTATGTTTTATGTTCAAGTCAGGGCTCTGTGTTTTACCGGGCTGTGAGAGAAGGGCAAAAATCTTCCCCTTGGGGACAATAAAGTTGAAGTTAAATAAAGGCTTTTCTGTCCTGTCACAGAGATCGATACAGCATAAAAAATAGTGTGGCAAGCCGTTCCCCTTTCAAGGGTGCGCTGAAGAAATAGTATTATAATTAAGATGAACATAACTAATTGTTTTACTAAGTGAAAGTGTCACATGCAGTGTGTCTCCATTTCAAGGCATGGCTGTTGTTAAATGACATAGAGGTAATTAAAGAAGTGCATACAGTGTATTATATTTCTAGATACCCCCTTATATGTGTCCTAAGTAAGTTTTTCATTGGTGCCCTTTATGTATAAAACATCTAAATGAGGTTGTAAATTTAAAGTGTTACCTCAACAGTTTATTAACTTAAAACTGTGACAGCAGAGCGGCACTTATTGCTTTGAGGTGTTGTGACTGAATGTGAATTTTTAATTCATATAAAATAATGAAAAAATGTCATCCCACAATGAGCCCACAGATAATTTAGTAAGAGCCAAATAAAACAAGTCAAAGAAAGCGTAAAATGCACGAGTCTCTCACCTTGTAGAAAGAATCCATAGACAACAGCACAACCCACGGCACATCCAGAGCCTCAATGATCTTATTGGCCACGGTGGTCTTCCCTGAGGCGCTGCCCCCACACAACCCTGCAGATCCACACAGCATGTCAATGGCCCATTATGTGTGTTTTTCAGAGTGTGTCTAATGTTGTCTGGCGGTATGCATGTGTGATAGCAGTAAAGTGTTTATGGGTAAGAAGAAGTCAGCAGAGGACAGGCTCTGCAGCTCAAAAACCACAACTTGGCACGAAGGTGGTGAAAGAAGAAAACAAGTCAGGAGGAGTGAAAACATCATCAGTGAGCGTCATACCGATGACAAAGGCCTCTTTTGACTGCGCTCCGTGCTCGTCATACCAGGGAGGTCGGCCGGCGGTGTAGATGGTGCGTGTGCCCGTGCGGAGCAGAGGAGGCTCGGTTTTACTCAGTGAGGTAGTGCTCTTCTTGCGCGGGGCCCCGGCGGGGGGCAGGAGCCGGTCCAACGAGTCCTCCCCGCTCCCACTGCAAGACAGCAAACAGCAGGGCAAGTTACAGCCTGAACACACACACACACACACACACACACACACACACACACAGTCAGGTGGACGACTGGATGGCTTCTCTTCACAGTGTGCACTATCAAAGAGCTGCCATACTTCAACTTCAAGAATCAGAAATCATCATATAATCTTTTGTGATGATTTGATAGCACGTACCGACTTATTTTGTACATGAAATCCAGGTGTTACACAACACGTGTAGGGTACTAAACATTTAGAATGGTTGACTTAAGGTCCACTTACGAGCTTTAACCATATCTCACGGTCTTCATCAGCATACCTGCTGTACTGAGCAAGTTCCATTCGCTGATGAAGGCCTTGAGATGTGGCTAAAAGCTCCAGCTCCACGGGGCATGTCGAGATTTGATTTAAATATATATATAAATAGGACAAATAAATGTAGTGGCTTTACAAAATATAGCTGAAACAATTAGTTGATTGATTAGCCAAATGACAGCAAAATAATCAGCAACTTTGAATTATAAATGTGTATAGAGTACAAGAAAATAAATGTATTTAAAAGAAAGAAATGTCACATTTTTCTGTCTGCCCGGCAAACAGGAGCAGCTGCAGTGAACAACTTAAGTGTAGAGATGCAATTTCCAAAAAACCTGCTGTGCAAGGAGAAAGCACCTCGGTGCATTCACACAAACACATTGTTGTGTGTTGCGTCAGACTGTTTATTGGTTTTCCCCTGTAAGCGGTGGGCCGCTGTGAGGTCAAATCCAGCTGCCGTGCTTCTTAAAACAAAAATTGGAGGTACTTTATATTATATAATTCTACTCCACTACATCGTAAGCCCATGTTGGTTGTGCACTTTTAGGTTTATGACGCTTAAAAAAAAAAAAATTCCGTTGTTATTATTTAAAGTGTGAGCTTATCATTTAATTCCTATTTTCGTGCAAAAATGCCAAAGACATCATGGTTGCAGCTTCTGAAATGTGACGATAGGGCCATTTCTCTACGATTTGATACTTAAACATTTTCATGTAGAACTTGTACTGGAGTATTTTTACAGTGTGGAATTGGAAGTAAAGGATCTGAATACTTCCTCCACCACTGCCTGGATTGGGTCAATGCTACTCTATGGAACAAATAAATGTCAGCCAAGCTGTTGCGTCACAATCTGATGCCACCTGTAGGGACACCTGCATTCCCACAGGCAGTAATTAGAAATCAAAGTAGTACCTCTGTTCATTTCTCATTGTTTGTGATGCACAACTACATATATGCACTCAAACTGGAGACACCATAGAGACAATCCTCTGTGACTGAGCACAAGCAAAACACACCAAAATCCCTGCAAACTAACCTAGATCCAGCACTTCCTCCGACCTCTCAACAAACCCCCTTTTTAGAGACTTCATTTATAGCGCACACATGCACAGCGTGCTTGTGAGCTTTGTGAGGTGGGAAAACTAGCATCCTGTCTGCGCTGAGAGGAAACAACAACACAGACAGTCAGATCTTACCTGCAGTCAGACCTCAAGGACCAACAGCCAGAGATTCTGGCTCCTGCGCAGTCGAGCAGAGTCATGTCTGCTTTTGACAACAACCTGCTACCCTCCAGCTCGCCTGTCACAGCGGCAACTCAACAGAGGAACACTGACCAAAAGTCAAAAAGGAGTTTAGTTTGGTTTGTTTGTAGTCTGCTTTCACTGTGTCCAGTCACAGTCTGCATCTATGGAGACTGAACAATCATCGGAAAAATCTCTCAGTGCTGCTGTCAATGTGACCTCCTTTCTGTGTGTGTGTGTGTGTGTGTGTGACAGACACCAAGAGGCTCACTGCAACACTGGCAGCAACGTGCTGCTCGGCTGGTATTAATAGAGACACAGGTAAGCAAAACCAGGACGGGACGGCCGTCTTCTGCTCATCCTTCCTCTTAGTTAACTCATCAGGTGTCGATGAGCCCAAACTAGTCGTATTGTAACAGGACGTATGAAGTATTCAGATGTTTCTTGTTTTGTCTGACCAACAGTTCAAAACTCCAAAATATTCAGTGTACAATGACATAAAGCAGAAAAAAGCAGAACATCGTGATATTAGGACTAATCAATGAATTGACTAATCGTTTCAGCCCTAACCAGCTTTGCCTTTAGGAGTCCTAAAGGAAGGATTTTCTTAGTTTGATTGAATTGTTGCTATTTCTTTTGTTTTCTAGTCAGGCAAAATAAGTTAATTTATTTATACGCCCTATTTTCCTCACATGGTTGTACAATCTATATAATGTACAACACCATCTGTTCTTAGGGCTCTTAAACGGGCCAATAAGGCCAAAAAGCCAGGAAGAGCAACAGAGAAGGGTCCCTCCTCCAGGACAGATAGAAGTCACATGTTCACACGAGAGTAACAGTAGAATTACAGTATGGAGAAACAGAAGTATCGAAGTCTTATACTTGTGTACAAAGCAGCAAAATACCTCATTACAAAATATTCCACTACAAGTCCTTCATTCTAGATTTTACCTATAGTGCATTTTAATTAAAAAAAAAGTAATTCAAATCAAATTTAGATCCAATATTATAACATCACAATGACAGGAGTACTTTTAATATTTTATGTACATTTATGTATTTTCACGTGAGTCATATTTTAAATTTTGGGCTTTTGCTCACAACGTCTTTTTAATGGTGTAGTATTGCTACTTTTACTTTAGTAAATAAAAGTAAGTAAGTAAAGAACACAAAGATTTACTTAAAGTAAATACTTCTTCCACTGCCTATTGGCAGCAACATACAGGCAGGGAAATAAAATAGCAGAGGGTTGAAAGGGTGACAATTTGTACATAAAGTGTAGATGTTTTGAATTAATTTAAAAATAATTATATATGCGTGTATGTTTTAAGGTTATTCTAAATCAAAGAACTGAAAAAATAAACAGAAACGTATAGAAAATCAAATCCTATCTTCTATCTAAAGACTAAATATACTTAAGGTTTATTTCTGTATATTTTAGGAATATTCTGGTATTTTCTTATTAGTGAGCCTGTGACAAACGTCTGACGTCAACGTGTAGCTCACCTACTTCTGAAGAGCTTCATGTTTCCCTCACATTTGATGGGTCTACAGCCTCCCATATGCCACTATATAGTACGATGAATCAATACCAACAGAAATGGGTTTTAATGTAATAATATTAAATGTCAGAGACGAAACATATTGGATGCTTTTGCTGTTTGGAGGGGAGTCAGTGTGGTTAGCGTTACATGACCGGATCACGACGCTGCTGCCGACTGAATCAAAATAAAATAAATCACATGAATAGTTTCGGTACACAGATTTCAAACAGAGGTAGAAGATACGGAGACCATCGTGTACCTGTCCGAACGGGACGACATTATTCTCCTGCACTCCGCTTCCATTGGGGATCCTGCGACCTCGGAGCCGGCGGAATCAGCTGGATTCCTTCTTATCCGTGCAGTGGGATTATGGGTAATGTAGTTTATCATCACGTGCTTCCTCGCAACTGCATTTTCTAGGGTAATGAACACATTCCTGGCATTTAAGCAGGCATCTGCACTAAAAGCGTTGATGTGATGATATTTTTTTTATTTACTTGTTTTACTTTTTGACATTAAAAAAAAAAGAAGCTTCACAGAGAGAGAAAGAGGTAGAGACAGTAAGAGAGAAATAGTTAATAGAGCAATACATTTACAAAGCAGATTGTCTTGGTGCTCTTCCATGTCATTGACATTGACAGTCCGCAAAGATTGTGTCAGTTCGTTGTGCAGAATGAAAAGCTGCCAACTTCCACTCAACAACATAACTCGCTGGATAGATTTCTCCCACAGGTCTGATTCACATTTGAGTTTATTTGGGGTAAATATCCCAGAGTTCCACGGCATCCAAATCTTCCGGCAATCTGGCTACGATATTCTTCCGAAGGAACCTGTGGGTGACAGGAAGATTAATACTTTTTTGGATTATTCCAAACATTCAAATCAAAGGTTCAACATTTTGGGAAACAAAGATTAGATGTCTGTATTGTTGATTAGAAGCTACAGCCATCAGCTGGTGAGCTTTTAGCACACAAGGTAACACACACCACCTACCAGCACCTCAAAAGCTCACTATTTAATACCTCATATCTCACTTGTTTGATTTGTACAAAAACTGAGATTTCATATTTCCATAGATTTATATTAGTATACCTCTCTGTGATATACGTATAGCTCCTTAAATGTCATACTATTCCTTTAAAGTTGAGGTTTGAGTGTTGAAAAGTAAAAACGCACACCCTCACCTCTGCTGAGCAGCTGCAAGTTGCGTCCCTCCTCCTGCACCTGAAGCTGCAGCACCTGTTGCAGCAACTCCTGCCGAAGTGTTTCTTGCACTAGTCCCATCCTCTCCAGCTTCTCCCCATTCAGACGCAACAACGCGCGGCCTAGAGAGTGAGAGCAAAAATAAATGTTGCTTTTATTTTGGGGATTCTTCAATCCACTCTCCATTTGTACGTCTGCTGATGATCTTCGCAGTGTGACCTGTGATGGCGTGCTGGGAGAAGGCCTCCACGTAGGTCAGGTAGTTGTGTGGACAGTGCTTCTTCAGCCATTTACAAACATCTTGTTGTGTCCAGAGCACGACGGGGCGGATCAGGCTGGGCTGTGTTGGGCTTGTGTGATATATCCCATAGTTGTCACTGGAACGGTACTGCAGACAGACAGGAAGACACACGGTTAAATACAGCGATGGACACAAATTAGAAGAATATTCCAACATTTTGGGAAATACGCTGTCTTGCTGAGAGTTAGATGAGAAGATTGACACCACGTTTGGACAGTAAACATCAAGCTACTGAAGCAGCCGATGAGCTTAGCAAAAAAAACTCATTAAAGCACACAGGGACGATTGCGATCATATGCACGTGCAGATCAAACTGCTCATGAACTTCTCGAAGATCAGCAAACATGCAGCAGCAGCTCCTGAAACAGCAACAGCACAGCTGGAGGAGCATATAGGCCAGTGTGATCATGAGATCCAGCTCTTTAATCTTACAAGAAGTACAGGATGTAAAGCTATGGAAGACCAATCAAAATGGGCCTTTGATCAGTCAATCAGTTTAAAAAATTCAGCAGATTCAGCATTTCTCAAACTCAAGATGTTCTTATATGCAAGAAAGTGGTGGTAAAAAAAAAAAAAAAAAAAAAAAAAGGCTGGTTTAAGATTTGTGCTGGAGGTCTGCATAATTTGTCAGACAGATAAAGGATATGCATGTTCCAGCTACGAAAGACTCTTAAAAAACAATCCCATTAGATTTTACATGTCCATTAATTAGAAGGAGTATTCATCTTCTGAAGCTTATGTTTCAGTATTGTGTATTTTACATTGTAATGAGTTGTGTCCATAATCTCAGTATCCATTCCATGATCTAATGAAACACCCAGAGCCATAAACAGTAACCCTTTCCTCTTTGGCAAATATATATTTACTTGGCTCCAACATAATGAGTTATTCTTCAGTACAAAAACTAACAACATACTCTAAGTAAAAAAAGTAGTAAATTAATGTCTATCAATTTAACCCAACAGTTGGTTCAAGCGTTGGATTTGTCACCTTGAGTAATATTGTCTAGCACACCAGAAAGTAATTTAAATAAGGTAATTAATGTTTGTGACTTTACTGGCCACAAAGAGAAGAACAACAATGAATAATACTTTATACTTAAAGTGGTGTCATTTTATACAAAATGACACCACAATTTATTGTAGAACTAGTTTAATACAAAAAGCAGTAAAATATCAAGCAAGAGTGGGATTCTTTTTCAAAAAGTAGTGAAAAGTCTATTTACACAAGAAATTGAGTAGCTGAATAAATATGTCTGAAGATATATTGATGAAGATGTATTTGTGGTTAGTGAAATATAAGTTGCTTTATTGATTATTTCAATTCTCTAATGATGTGTAATATGATGTAGAGCTTGTACTAGATGGGTTTTTGAGTTATTGTTTTGAGTCTTTTTGTGAGTGGCGATGTAAGAAATGTTTTTGTATCATTGTCATTTACTGTAAATGCATGTGGACTTCCAGAAGAGGAGCTACTGTTGTTGTTACAGTACAGAGCGCTAATGGGGAGCAAAATAACAAACAAAGAAAGACTCATTCAGAGCAAGTCTGAGTCGATATTTTTCGGCCTCCTGAAAGACTTCCGATCCACCCTGGTCGTGGAAATTTATTTTAAATGTTTGCTTTTATCTTTATACTTCCTGCTCTACACTTTAAGAACACCGGGTTTCCTTTCCTTTCACTTTGGGTGTGAGGACAGCGTTACTCACTTCACGTCCTCAGAGTGTTTAGGTGCTGCCTAAAATGCTGCATTGTTGCCATTAGTGGGTAATGTGAATATTTGGACTTCTGAATTGGACCTTTGTATAGATGCATGTATTCTGAATTATCACAGTGCCAGACAGTACATTCAAGACTCATTTCAATGTCAATGAAATGTTTCACACATTCCATAGAAAGCTAACATTTTCCTAAATTCATCAAAAATAAATTGTTTTCAGCGTGTCAAACAGACAGCGTTCAGAATGCAGTATTGTCCCCCAAAACCCGTGTTGCCTTTTCTCCTCGGGCTGCGAGTAATGATTCCCATTATTAACTAATCTCCTGATTAATTTGTTGATTAAGTGATGAATTGTTTGACCAATAAAATGTCAGACAATTGTGAAAATGGGCTATCACAATTTCCTTAAGCCAAAGGTAATCAGAAAATCGCTTGTTTTATTCTGAACAATAACAGAAAATAAAAGCAGCAACTCCTCATTATTTAGAAGCTGGAATTAACGATTGTTTGGCATTCTTGCGGGAAAAATGGCTCACGGTTATTATTTTCTTTCAACAACAACTACTGAATGTATTGTGTTGTAGAGAGAGACTATAATGAGTGTTTACAGTTTTTTCTGCTCTCAAACCAACATGTGCAGTACATTAGTGACGACTCTGTGGTTGCAGAGTGCACGAGGGTACAAAATGTAGAAAAAGAGTAAATAAAACTAACTGAAAGATAAAAAGCTGAACTGTGGTAGAAGTGAAAGCACTGTTCACATGTTCCAGTGCAGACACACAACACTGATTAAGTTTATGTTCCCCAAAACCAAAATAAACCAACCACTACATTATGTGCGTCCAAGAGGATTGAAGCAAACAAACAATGCATCGTGTACAACTCTGTTATCAGCCCAGCCCAGTTCTATGTTTGCAGCTTTGGCTTCAGCTCATTACCGCCTTTTAAAGACTCTTTCATGGGGTGAAGACAAAGACAAGGGCTTTAAACGAGGACAGTTTTCTGCACACATGAATTGTCCCTCTTGACAGCGAGCAGACAATGCTGTCATCAGATAACGAAAGGAACATCCATTAAAAAATGAAATTAAAACTGGACCAGAAGGGCTACTGGAAGTGGATCTGATGACGTTTCACATAAAGAGATCTTAAAAAAATTAAAAAAGGCTTTGCACAACTACAATCCCAGACCGTGTACCATCAAGTATTTGATACCAAACTAAAGTCTGTTTCTTCCTGCTCTCAGTCAACAGTGCTGCTGCAGCACAGTGAGTGTTGGGAGGCCGGTGCTATTTAAAGCCACACTGTACTAAAAGGCTGTTAGAGCCCACCAACCCGCTGGGGAGAGAGCAACTTCCATTCTCTGCTAAGAAAGTGTCCATTTTCAACAATGTGTGCCGACCGGCTACATCGGCCAGACTATGACGTTTTTTCTTTCTGCGTCTTTCTGCACAGAAATCTGAGAGTAGAGTTACTGAACACCACTGAGGATCATTCTCATGTATAGTCATACATATAGATATAATTATATAATCATTGTATAGTCAGCATTATAATTGTTTTGTGTCTGCATCACTTTATGTAGGAATGCGGTGGGGCTGACTGAATGATCTCTGACTCCATATGCTGCAACCACTACAGATACAGATACTACTTTAAGAATTATTTTGGATCAATCCAAGTCAGGATTTCTGTGATTTAAAGTCAAAGAGAAATTTGTTTTTAAGAAAGAAGAGGGTGCTGATACTGCAACTACTGGGCATATGTTTCTGTTTATTCTAAAAGTGTGTGGTAATCAATATTGCCATTGTGTTTTGTTGAGCACCATCAAGCATAAGAAATGAAGACATCTCCTTGACAGTGGAGGATGAAGAAAGCCCGAGGGGTATCACACAACATCAGTTCATGAACCAGGTGTGCCACTGGACATGCTGAGGTCACGGATGTGTTCAGTACCTGCAGGGCCTGTGTGCCCGGCTGCTGCAGCAGCTTCACTGTCCTGCCTCCTGCGGTTTTGTGCCCACGTCCGTCATGCCAGGTTAGGTTCCCACCTGTCCGTCGACTCAGCTGGTGTTTGAAGTCCTCCGGCAGAGCCCTGTACTCCATAGCTGGCCTGCAGAAACTGAAACTGGATGCCGCTGGAGTTAAAAGCAGGGGGTATAATGATTAGATAGCCGGATCTGCTTGTAACCACTGACAATGTAAAAACAGCATGAGACACCCTCTGCAAAAAAAAAAAAAAAAAATCCCCCAACTCTGCGTGACTTGCAAATAACCCACCTGAACACCCCTGTCACTCAGTAATGATGTCATTATGAAGGGCCTGCTCGTACATGCTCTTTTGCTACTGAGCAGGTATGAGGTAATGTTCAAAGTCACCTGAGGCTGTACAAGCTCGTGGGTAATTCACAGAAGTCCTAGTTCGGGTAACACTACTACTCTGTGCTTGTGAGGCGAGCCAAATTCTGATAATTAATGCCGAGGCCCGCAGGCAGACATCCAAACCCACTCAACAGCAGGTGGCTTCCCAAAATCCAGTAATTAAAGAAAGTGTGTAACTACAGTAAACACGCCGTTACTGGCACAGATCCTGGCAGCGAGCTACGGGTCATTACTGATTCATGTGCCAGATTTGAAGAATTTTCTTACCCTGTTTGAAGGTATGTGTGCAGCTGTGCTTGTGTGTGCGTGTGTGTGTGCGTGTGCGCGTCTGTCGACGTGCATTTCCGATATCTTAAATTGAGAAGAGAATTTGAAAATAGGATGTAACGAGAGAGACTGGGGGGTGCGAGGATTTGAGGAGATGAAAGAGTGTCTTTTGGTTTTCTAGCTCCGTGCCTCTCCTTTCTGTCGCTCAACATCTCCCACTGAGAGCGGAGCGAGTCCTGCAATCATCAGGGCGAACCAGCAGCATCAGATTATTATGAATAAAACTCTGTATGCCATTTTTGTTTCTTTGAGGTGGAACTTTGACGCTGTGTACTTATGAACTCTCCTACAGTGTTATTACTCCCCCAGGCTGCTGCAGTAACCATAAATGTGCCCCTCCCCCGGATTAAACACATTTAATTAAGACCACTTGTCAGACTGAGTTTTTTCCTTCCTTTAGTTTTGTAGTCTATAAGAAAAAAGGTCCTCATTATAACTAGCACACATATTAATTGCCAGCACCGGATAGAAAAACTCTTTCATGGACAAAAATCGTACTTAGCATGCTGTGAAGTGTCTAGCCTGCATGCAATATGTTTCACTGGGTATTTTTGGTTGAATCTGCTCTGTAGATTAAACAGAGAGCAACACATCAGCAACACGAATTTTCACCAGAATTTGGAACACAGTGTGTCCAATTAAGAGTAACGTCAATGCAAAAAAAAAAACAACTAACAGTCACACCACTAGACTGATACTGGTCATTTCTGGTGGGCTGTCCCTTTCAGCACCAAGTCCTCGACCATAACGTCCCTATAATGTCCCGACAGACATTCATACAGTTTAAAGAGTTCTTACCTCCTACAGTGTTATAGATTTAATGTAATGTTTTCACTTCACACTGTAGCCTTTGTACTTTCTCGTGCAGTTACTGGATGGTAGTCTATGGCAGGCGTTTTGTCAACAGACGCACCAACATACCTGGTAAACCGGTCTCACGAGAAGGTTACTGAGTTAAACGAACAAAGTAGTACAGCTCCATGCGCGCTTTAAGTTTAAGTTTCCATTGAATGTAGGTTCTCTCTAAGAAAATGTCGACGTCTTAATTGCAAAAAGCCGCCTACCGTCCACAGCCATGGTGTTTCCGTGCCGTAGTGGATCTAGTCAAACTCCCATCATCTCCGGTGACCGACACGCACAGACTGCGGGGTCCTGCGGCCGCCTCTCTCCGTCTCCGCGTTTGTGTTCACCGACAAAAGTTTCCGTGAGCTCTGGCAGGAGGAATGACGTTCCGCATTCTCTGAAGCCTTACTGGGAAATGCCTTCAACCAGCTCACGTCGTTCACCAGTGCTGACGTCTGTGTACTGAAGTTGTTGGAGACGCGACAGGAATGTCCCCGAGCAGCTGTGCGGACTGGTTCCGCTGGCTCAGGCGTGCGCGCTTGTGTGTGTGCGTGTGTGCGTGCGTGCGCGCAGTATGTGGTTTTATATCTGTGCCGTGAGAATCAGACGCGCGGCTTTTTCTCAAGAGCCTGCATGAGCGCAGTGAGCTCAAAGTGCAGCCCCGGGCCCTGTAATTATCGCAGCCAGTGGAGACTCTGAAAAACAGCCGGATGAAAAGGCTTCTCATCACTGCAGCATCCCGCGTGTAGGAATTCCCCTTTGCCTTTTCTTAAAGAAAGGAAGCTCTGTGCGCGCCTGAGGCAGCGGGCCCTCTCTGTGATGGACCCTCTATGTGGGGTTTGTCCAGAAGAGCTGCAGTACGATATCAGAGAGCACCGGCGCTGCGCAGTAACTAAATGGGTCACATATACAATAATGTCCTTTCTTTGCCTGTATGTTTTATTATTATTTTCCACCACAAAAGAAAAATGACATAGGGCCAAATAAAAAAAAAACGTGTGGTAGTGGGGTGCGTTGTTACATATCATTATAACATAACTGTAAAATCATCACATTTGGCAGATGTGTTGATAGATATTGGGAACAAAAGTGTAAATCCAGCCATCACAAACTTACTGTGTGTCAGACATTTTTCAAAATGGCCCAACTGTGGATCAAACTTTCCTATCCCATAACAATATCAGACATAATGTAGATAGTAACCCTGAGAATAATAAAATGCTCACTCTCAATTCTAGGGGCTTTTACAAAGTAAATGGTCATTGCATAATATTATAGTTTTATAAAGTGCTGCGAATCAGTATCAACAGCTCTTGTATTACAGTTTTATACAATTCCGTATATTGCAGCTATAGTCCTCTAACTCTCTCTCCAAAATTGGGCTCCATTGTTGTTCACATCAAAAGGCAAACCTGAATCTTATTTATAGTGTTCAACTCTGATTTCTAGGCGCTCTAATTGGTTACAGGTGTTTTCACCCTGCAGGTGCATTCTGTGTGCACGTGATTGATAATTGAGTGTGGTATTTCAATGGCAGTGTATAGCAAACAACACTCATAGGCTCTCCATTTTGAATGATGTGTCTAATGCAGATCACAGTGTGTAGTTTTTAAAAAAGTGTAAAGCAGTGTAAAGCAGACAATGTGCTTATGCTTTAGCATACCTGGACAATAGATAGGCAACACGAGTTACTGGTCTCAATAATTGTGCCACACGTACCAGTTTTTGTGTCTTGGCAGTTGCAAAAATGTTTTGTCAGATGGTGGATACCACAGCAAACATTGTTTTGTTTGTTATTTAGAAAAGTACAGAAACACACAAGTAACATACCTATAAATATGTAGAACGTTGCTGTCTCATGAATAAATATAGTAACTTTAGATAGATAGATAGATAGATAGATAGATAGATAGATAGATAGATAGATAGATAGATAGATAGATAGATAGATAGATAGATAGATAGATAGAATATACTTTATTCATCCCCGGGGGGGAATTTGTTTATTTATTAGTAATAATAAAGTATTAATTAGGGTTGTCCTTATCCACCCTCAAAGATTGGTATCAGGGCCGATCAAGGCATTTTTTAACTGATTGTCTATATTGAGTTATCAAACCCGATCCAATCAGCTGTCACTCAGGTGTTTTGTCTCGCAGAGCTTTCGACTGCACCAAACACCATAAAAAAGCACTTTCATTTCAGCGCAGTGTGAGAATCTCTTTTGTTTTACTGTCATCTAGTGGATGGAGTTTTACCAGCGGACAAGAGTAATCTATTATCTGTACAAAGGATGTACAGTTGACAAAAATGAACACTCAACAAAATACATTTCATTAAGGTAAACCAGGCAAAGGCTGCAAGGGTCAAGCATGTACATTGGATTTATTTTAATAACATTAATGCACTTGAATTGTGCAATGTGCTGCTGTATTAACTTGGAAAAAATAAGTATCAGATCGGGACCTAGTAACCAAGTCCTGAATAATAACTGACTTCTAACTACTTCCTAGTATTAATACCATTAGTACTAAGTATTACAGCACCAGAACAAGTAGTTGTTCTAATAGAATCTCTTAGTTCTAAACCATGAGAGATCCTTTCTAACCACTGAATCTGTGTTTTTTGTATTATTGCAGGTCACACAATAATTAAGACGGTGGTGGTGGGTAATTGACTTTGTCAAAAAGGTGTCTGCCTGAAGACACAGGGTTTCCAACACTCTCGACATCTTCCAATTCACAGCCTGCAAACAAGATAGACTCATCTGCCAACACGATTGGTGGTGCATGGCGGCTCTCAGTTGGTGGAGCGATTTGTCTGGTTAATTTCAATGACAAACCAGACTCCGGCATTCTAACTAGTTGCGCAGCCCGGTGTAGTCGGCGTCCAACTTCTTAGAGGGAAAAGTGGCGTTCAGCCACATGATATTGTGCAATAACATGTATGTGATGCTCTAAGATGCTCAGGGCTGTACACACACCACTCTGAGTGGATCAGCATGCGTCTACTCTTTGTGGAGAGATGCGGGTAACCCACTGAACCCCACTCATGATTGGAATTGCAATTATTTCCCATGAAGGAGGAATTCCCAGTAAGCGCAGGTCATAAGCTTGCGTTGATTGAGTCCCTGTCCTTTGTACATACCGCCCGTCGCTACTAACGATGGATGGTTTATTTAGTGAGGTGCTCGGATCGCCCGAGAAGACGATAAAACTTGACTATCTAGAGGAAGTAAACGTTGTTACAAGGTTTCAGTAGGTGAACCCGCGGAGGGATCATTAGCAGTTGCTGCCATGTAGTAGGCATTACAGAAAAGGAGCTGTGGGTCCTATCGGTTCCCATTAGGGCCCAGCAAAAAACTATTTGCACTTTTGGAATGTAGCAATATAATCATGACCACTTTAAATGACAAATGCTGCTGTTCACCCAGCCTTAGGCAATCCATCAACGGTGGATGCAAGAGAGGTATTCCATATATTGGCTCTCACGCCCCGTCATCAATACTTTCTGAATCCACTCAGTTTCATGTCTAAGTGGGGAGGGATCTCACACTACAAATAGGCATGTATATAAATACATAAAAAAAGACCTAAAATGAGGTCAAACTGAGTTTTGTTTCTCCGCTGCAACAAATCTTACTGGAGCGTCAGGGAGTAGCTGAGGGATTGCCCCCGAAGGTCTGGACTAAAATATATTTCATGGTTCTCATCTATGTATTTATAAATATCTCATACTTTGACATCAGGCTGCTCTGGTTTAAATCTACAAAACAGGAAAACAATAATGAACTGACACCGCCGCTATATGTGTTATCTAACTGGAACCAGCTGAGGAAAAAACTGCATTTCTTTTCTGTAGAGACTAATGCCGTGTTCACAATAATGCATGATTGTCCTGCTGAGACAGATTTTGAGAAAGGACTGTAGCGGTGCAAGTGTGATGATGAAAGCTGATGGCAGAGATCAAGGTGACATCCACAATATTATCCGCAGTGCATGGCACTTAATCAGTGTCAACAGTGGATGCGGGCAGGTGTTCTGTTGTGCAATGATGGAAGGACACAGATGCTTATCGGAGGGTATTTGCATACTTTCTGAGTACAAGTTTAATGACCTTGTTGACTTCTGACTTCCTAAATAAAAAAAAAAAGCATCTTTGCAGTCGAACGGCAGAAACAATATTTTCATCACAGCCACACAAGGTGCACCACCTCATAGTGTAGTCTTATTCACATACAAATAAAGTTGTCATCAGCTGTCATTGTCGTGAGATATGAAATCAAACTGTAACAAGTAATAATCCTGCATTCTAAATATTTCTTAAATAAAAGTACGTACGTATTATCGGAAAAATTATCTCGTATCAAAGGAGTAATTATGCACAGTGGACATGTGTTGTTGTTGTTGTCTTTATTCATACTACTGATGCATCAGTTTATAATCAGCATTTTAATGTTGTGGCTGGTCTGGGTAAAGCAAATGATTGGTACTTATTATTCAGTTTTAAACAGTAGCTATGTACTACTATACTAGTAGTTTAATCAAAAGTCCCCAGCTGTGTGCTGGGGGTACAACCGAAGAGGGAGAGACAGAGAAGAACACAGGTCACTAAGGACAATAATGTCTCTGGTGATTGAAACATTTTTACTTTGTGTTGGTGGTTTTTGGTATGCTAATGTTGAGCCGGGAGCTAGCTGAGAAGCTACCGGCAAGTTATAGGTCATCAAACGCTTTACAGTGGGCTTCAGAATAAAGTAGTGCTTTCGTAGTGTACTCCAGTGCAGCTGGAGTTATGGCCCATCGGAGGACTCTCTCTTTAGTGCAGTACTGTTTTCCGTTTATGAAAATGGGCCGTTTTTTGTCCTGGACTTTAATCTTGTAAAAGTCCTTTTTACATCCAGGAGCAATACAATAGCGGCCTCTCTTTTGTCTTCTTCTGTCCTGTGGCTCCTCATTGTATCTGTTGAACTCAGCCAAGCCTACCAACCCTGTGATGTAACCAGTTAGAGTACTGCAACATGGCGGCGCTCTTATCACAAAAGATAAAACAGAGCTTCTTATGTCTATTAAATACTTACATTTGTAATGTTTGTCATGCAACTGTTGATTACAGTGTAACTCCATTCAGTAAATCAGCTTAACTTGGATAACTGCTTGATTTTCCCTTTAAGGCTAGTAAGCCACCTACACAGGTGTTTTCACTAATCTTCCCTGATTAGGCCTCTTCTCAGGACTGTGTGGGCATGTGCAAAGAGCACTTCATTTACATATCTTCGTTGATGTTGTTGTATCCATGAGGGTGGGACAACCAATTATCATTCCTTTCATTTTTATTAGTGCATGCACCTCATGTAATTCTAAGGTACCAAAATCCCCCTACCAGCACCTCTAAGGCTTTGCATTATATGTTGTCTGTTTAATCCATATAAAAGTGTAATAATGAGCTGTACTTCGTGAGCATGAGAGGTGCTGGTAGGTAACTTTGGACAGTCAGGATATTGCCATTTCCCTGTTTCCACTCTTTATGCTAAGCTAACTATCTCCTGGCTCCAGCTTCATATTTAATGTATAGACATGAGAGTGCTATTGATGTATTCATCTAACTCTCAGAAAGAAAGTGAATACATGAAGTCCCCAAAATGTGAAAGTATTTCTAAGGCATTTTCAGACACTATAGTGATTCACAGCAAACATGCGCTGCAAATATATGAAATACAGCTTCAGACAATAAGTCGC